TTTTTGGTTTTTTTTTTTTATAGCAAATAAAAGAAGAAATATATTTATTTTACTTTTTTAAGCGCATCTAAAATGTACCCAAAAAAAAAAAAAATTTTAATATAATAAAAAAAGTTTATTAAAGACACAAAAATATGAAAAATAAAATACACAAAAGCTTAAAAAACTGTATTTGAAAATTCAAAACCAAACAGAAAAAATGAGTTTCAGTGTTGACAGTGATCCAAATTCAATCTTATCACTAAGTAGAACTTGAATTTTTCAATTTGTTGTCTTTCCATATATTTTTGTTTTTTTGTTTTTTGATGTGTGTAAATAGTTTTCATTAGCCTTATTCGAGTTTAAGTTTTTTTAAGTTTTTCTTCAATTGAAATTTTTTCCGCAATGCATTCTTTAAGCGTACAAAGCTCGTGAAAAAAAAAAAAAAAACATAGGAAAAAGAAATAAAAATTGGTACCAAAGTCCAACACAGTTAATTAACTTAAGTTTTGTTTGACATTGATTACGGTAGTCAACTTTTTTATATTGAGATTTTTTAAGCTTGGTTTTTTTAGCTTCGTTTGATTTTGTTTTTGGACTTTTTTTACTTTTGTGAGAGAAAAAATGTAATGATTATAGTTTGCATACAATATTTTGTCTTATTAACTTATATAACCTATTTTGTCCCCATTTGGTAGATCTGTGAAAATTTGATTATAATTTATAGTTTAACAGCTTATAGCTTATAATTGTGAACATAAGTTGATTTTTGACTTATGAATTAAGCTTTTCCTCCCACACTCAAAAAATAAGTTGATTTTTGACTTACAAAAAGCTATAAGCTGTATTATTAAGCTGAACCAAACATATCAAAATAACTTAAATTAAACTAAAAATTGAAATAAGATGGAAATAAGACTTACCAAGCAGGGCCTTTATCTTTTTATACTTTTTTAACTCCAAAATATTTAGCAAACGAGAACTTAGTCTATGATCAAACTAAATTAAACATGGTTAAAACTAACCCCAAGTGTGAATTCATATTATATATTAAAAACAATGAGATGCTGTCCATGAATAATCTTTATGCACATCTTTCAAAAGATATTATTGAGTCTTTGTCAATCTTCATTTGAGTCTTCCACGTGATTTGTAGACTCGATCTTGAAAACAAATTGTCAACACAAAAATAAAATAAAAAAAAAATTCAAAAAGTACTTAGCCATTTTTGCTCACACATGTTATTGAATGAGTTCCACCCAATTATTATAATCAAGAGAATACCTAGACTTTTTTGCTCAGACATGTTATCGAATGAATTTCATCCAATTTTGACAGACTTTTTTCTTTTCTTTTCTTTTTTCAGATAGGATAAAAACCAAAGCAGAGACCAAATGAATTTACAGAAGCTGCATCTAGCAGGACATAACGGGACACGGAGCACGGAACTTCTTCCATCCAAACATGCAAACCAGTTGCGAAAATGGCCAGTCTCGGACTTACTTACGTGAATCTAAGCGACAATCAATTTCTGTAAATTTAGACCTATTATATGCAAGGAAAAATTAGTGAAAAAATTATTTCTAGGGATGCGTATACGACATTAGTTTCAAGAATTATTCTGTTTTTGGTTATAAAGATGTGATTAATGAAATTGTTTAGTGAGAATGACAAATTATATCGTTTTGAAGAATAATTTTTTTTCATGTTTATCCATACTTGCCGAAAAAGTCACCGAAAGTGATTGGCAGCAGTTGGTGGTGGTGGTGATATGAATAATAGATAAATTATGTGAATAGGTAGATGACACATGGACAAATAAGTGGATGACATATGAACAGATAGGTGACACGTGAACAAATGGATGACGTGAATAGAAAAATATAATAGTGTTAGATTTATGACCCAGTGACCTGTGTAAAACAAATAATAATAATAATAATTTAACCTATGTATTTCTTAAAATATATTAAATCTTACATGCATATTTATTGGGTGAATTCATACAAGAGGCGGAAAAAACAGTGAAATAAATTCACCTATAAAGCATAGCCCTCTTAACAAAAACTTCAACATGTGAAATTTATATATCTATTTATTAGAAGTCAAAAAATTCATCACTATTATTTATAATAATAAAAATATCATTGTCACATTATTTTATATGACTTTATAATATATATATATATATATGTCATCTATATTTCCACATTTTATTACTTTGGAAATCTTTGTTAGATTATTACCCCAACGAAAGCCATATTGTCTGGACTCGTCGTGGCACACATGCGATGGATGAGAGATGTTGTGGTAATGACACTTTGTCAATTCACCCAAAAATAAATAAATAAATATTATTATAAGGGATAAGACAAAAATTGCCACTCTATTTGGTTTTCAGAATTTATTTTTTGATTTTTTTAAAATAACTAAAATATAATTCAATGAAAAAATAAATAAATTAAAAGTGCTCATCATTTTCATATAATTTTATATTTTTTTGATAGCAAAAATAAATTTTAACAATAAGTTTTTGGTGTTTATTTTTGTTAATTTAACTTCTACTTTTTCAGAGAAATTTTAAAAAACTGATTATGAAATTAGCTATGCCAATTGTCTTCATTTTACGATCAATGGTTGTAACATATTTATATTAATTAACAAATTTGTATTTTAAATTAAAAGATTGATAAGATAAATTTTGTAAACATGGGCATCAAGCTCATAAATCTAATTTTAAAACTTCTAGATAATAGTCTCAAATTCTATTCTTTGAGAGCCAAAAGAAAAATAATAATTTGAAAAATCATATTATTCCTATTTATTTGTCTAGGTTGGATAAAAGATTATATTGTAAAAAATATCAACAGATATAAAAAATATTAACATATACGGATATCCCATAATTTGTATATTGTCAACTGTCCACCTATGTGTCCACGTGACTTATTTGTCCACTTTTTTGTCCACATGTCAACTTTCCATTTGCCTATACGACATCTTTCTGTCCACCTAATTTGTATATCTATCCTTATTGTCTCCATTACCGGCTACATTCGACTACTTTTCTGACGTTGGCAAATTTTTTAATGACGGTTTGATGATAGTAGGATAAAAATGAAAAACAAAAATTATTCGTAACAATAATCTTTTTTTTCACCAAGCAATTTTATTAATTAAGTCATTATCGCTAAAACAAAATAATTTTTAGACCAAATGCTAGGAGTGGGCAGGGCAACGGTTTATCCGAACCGCTCAAACCGCCCAATCCGCATATAAATGGACAGTTTTGCAAACATAATGCGGGCGGATGCAGTTTGAAATATGACAAATTTACGGATTGCGTATTATTTTTTATGTATCAACTTTGTAACTTTAACAGGAGCACCATTATGTTCTCTATGACACTAGGATCCTTATTTTTAAGTATTTCTCAACTTTCTTAATGTCGTAGAATTATCAAGTCCTAAACTTGATTTCTTATATGATTTTCATTGTTGACTAATCCACTTTTTCCTAATAAAATTTTCCTTTTGGTGGTCGATGGAGCTTCTAGTTTGATTATTGATTACTAAACTAGCAATTCTAATTGAGTACAACCTTTAATGCATTGATATATATTTTTTTTCATAGCAAAAATGCTAGTGTAGGATCTCTTTGTTTTGAGTACTTTCATTTAATGTATTGATATTTAATTTTTATTTGTAAACTCATTAGAAAATTATTGTCAAATAATCACAAATATATAAAATGAATCTAATGCCTAAATTCGATGGGAAAAAAGAACTCAAAAATTAATTTTTAAAGAAAAAAGTGTAAACCGCAAACCGCCCACAACCGCTTGCACATCTACAAACCCTATACGCACAAACCGCAAACCACACTGCGGGCGGTTGCGGGTTGACTTTTTCTCAAACCGTATAAATGCGGACGGGTCAAAACCGAACTGTAAACTGCACAAAACCGATCTGCGAACAATCCTACCAAATGCCATGCACACTCAATAAAATAGATTTTTTACTAATTTTTTTATTATATATATAATACAATAAATAATGATAATAAACTTTTGTTATCAATCAGGATCATCTAGAAGGTATAGCGCTAAAGCTACTCTAGTATTAAGGCCTAGTTTGGGAAGACTAAATAAGTGCATTTTTTGACTTTTTATGAAATATGGGTTGTGTTTGGGTTGGGTTTGAAGTGATGTATTAGAGAGATGATGTGACTTAAATAAGATGATGTGACTTAAATAGGATAGTGACTTTTTGACTTTTTGTCTTTTTTCAATCTTCCCAAACTAGGCCTAAATACCGTAGAGTTTCCCAATATAGTCTATGGTTCACCAACGGAAAATTATTAGGTATTTTCAGAATGTTATGTATTTATATTGTTTTATTAATTATAATATATCATATATTTTTACATTTTTCAATCACTCAGCATAAAAAATAAAGTAACCTATCATATATATATAGGGGGTGTTTGGGAAGAAAAAAAATAGCCTAATTTAGGCTAAAAATCACAAAAAGACAAAATAGGCTAAAATAGTTAATAAGACAAAATATCACATTAAACCCATAATCATTTCATTTTTTCTCTCACAAACATCACATCCAACCACAAAAAAATCCAATCATCTTTCCAAACACAAAAATTTTAACCTATTAAAATAGCAAAAAAATAAAATAGCCTACTAAAATAGCCGCTTCCCAAACGAGGCCATATATGGATAAGAAAAACGACAAAACTAATGTTACAAATCAAATATGGTATTTGATTAATAACAACGCCAAAGCGTGGACATTAAAATATACAAAAGCCATAGAATCTATTACACTTTATAATAATAATTGTGATAGTTACAATAAATAAAATAAAAACACGTGATTCAAATGTATAAAACTTTGATCCGTATGATATGAACTGTCACAGAATCTCCAAAAACACAGAAAACAATACACGGTGATAATATATATATATATATATAATAGCTTCTTACTATTGAATGAAATCCCAGGTCCTCCAATTCCAATATATATAGAAAAATCATAAACTTGTAATCACAGTCACAAAAAAAACTATATCACATTTCATTCTCTATATCCAAAATGTATGAACAATCCATCTCAGATTCCGACGTTGCTCTTCTCGAATCGATCAGCAGGCATCTCCTCGACGATGCCGACATCTCAGAAATTTTTCCGATGATGGTTCCATGCATTGCACCACCGGTCAATGATCTGAGTTCGAGTTTTGCTGCATGGCAAGCAATGCCATTAAATGGGTCGTCGGAGATGATGATCGAGTTTGGAGCGAAGGATGTTACGGAGGAGGAAGTGGTGGCGCGTGGTGATCACGTGCCTCGGGAGTGGAGGAGGTATAGAGGTGTAAGGCGGCGGCCGTGGGGGAAGTTTGCGGCGGAGATAAGGGACCCTAAAAAAAAGGGTTCTAGAGTTTGGCTCGGGACATACGAGACACCTGAGGATGCTGCATTGGCTTATGACCAAGCTGCTTTTAAAATGCGGGGTTCAAGTGCTAAGGTTAATTTTCCGCACCTTATTGGCTCAGATGACTTGGAGCCGGTTAAAGTGAATCCGAGGCAGCGGCGGTCTCCAGAGGCTTCAACTTCATATTCTTCGTCGGAAAATGAATCCCCAAAGCGGAGGAAATGCGTGGTTGGCCAAGTGTTGGTAGTTAAACCCGAGTTGGATACTAATAGTGTTTGAAATTGACCAATAAAAATTTAATGTAACAGTGATACATATTATGTTGGATGCATTGAATTTTTTTTTTTCTTTTCAAATTGGCCGCATCAGAAAGTTGTAAATTGTGAGCAGATTGCAGGCATTGTACTTTGCTTCAAGTTTGGAGAGCTTACAAGAAATAGACACTTTCAAAAGGATCGGTCTCTGATTCACATTTGTGAGACAGTTAAATTTGCTTACCTTTTTCATCTTATTTTGTAAAAGAAAAAAAAATGCTTATAATATGATTTTTCTCTTGTGATTTTGAAAATTATATCTCACATTTTCAAGTTTTAATTTTATAACAAATGATGCTTTTTATTAATAAATCATTAAGCCAATTAACAGTTTTTAATGATGTTAGAAATTTATTTCAATTAATAATTCAAATAATTTTATCATTGCACACGAGAACAGTTAAAAATTTTATTTTTTGTAGTTTGGGTAGGGGATAAGCTCTCCCTCATACCTTATCTCTCTATATCTCTTTGTATTTTTTTTTATAGGTTTCATCCGAACCCGTATCGATAATCCGAACCGTTTATCTCGTAGGCCCAACAATAAAGGTCATCCATACAAAAAATTAACTTTATTAGAAAATTATAAATACAAAAAAAAAATTTGTTTTATAAAATGAATGGAAAATATAACATTAAATTTAAATAATCTATTTTACAAAACAAAATGCGATTTATTTCCATATTTATAATTGTCGGATGAAGCTGATATTTTGTATGGATGACCTTCATTGCGGGGATTACGAGATAGCAGTTCGGATCATCAGTATAGGTCCGAATTAAAACCCATAAAAGGAGTATGGAAAGGTATAAAGAGATGAGGTATGGAGAAGAGCTTATCCCGGTAAAAAGAAAGGTCTAAGAAATAATTTTCATTTTTAGTTAAGATCTCTTAGTATTATTATTTTAGTAGTTTAGGTCGTTCATCCTATCTTTTATATTGTTTAAGTGATTTTAAAGTTTAATAAATTTTGATTTAAATCTTTATTTTATTTTTTTTATAAAATTTATATTTTTAGAATTCTATTGATAAGATCTTTCAAACAAAATACATGAGTAATATGAAATTCTAAAAAAAAGATATTCATAAAATTTCACTGACTTAGTCATCGAAATTTCACTAACCAATTGAAATTCATTGATCTAGGCCAGTGAAATTTTATTGACTTGGTTATTGAAATTTTAAAATTTCACTGACTTAAACAAGTTTTCTTATCAAAATTTCATTGATTTTGACTGACTTAGTCATCAAAATTTCACCAATCAACTAAAATTTCACTGAACTAGGCTAGGTCAATGAAATTTCAATGACTTCACTAATTTGGTCATCAAAATTTCACTAAATCAGACTTGGTCATCGAAATTTCACTGACTTGTCTTAAGTTAGTGAAATTGCGTCATTTTGTTTTTTAGAATTGTGTATTCATCATGATTGTTGTTTTACAAATCTTGACGAAACGATTTCAAAAACACAAATTTTATAAATTAAAAAAAAAAAGAGATTTAAAGGATATTTGAGATGATCTAAATAAGTATATTTTTTGAATTTTTATGAAAAGATGTACAAACAAAGTAGAGAGGTAATGTGATTCAAAAAAAGATAAAAAAAATGTACTAATAAAAGAGATGCCAAACAGTGTCTGTAGCTGGTTTTTCGTACTCCTCGGAGGGGTTTAGTCTCCTCGGGCACGATTTTCCTACAGTTCAGACTCTCGTAGTTCTGAATCTGGTTTCAAAAGTGCAATGTAAAATAGAAAAAATGAATGAGAGTTCAGATCCCGCAAATCTTAGAAAATCCATTAATCATCAGAGATGTCAAAAATGGACTGCATTGCTAGATTTCAGAGTTGCTACCTATTATTTTTGGGAGAATTAGAAAACCCGTGACTTGTGTCAAAGGCTACTTGTCCGTCATAACCAAAGTTGTCTCGGCTTAGGAACTTAGGTATAAGAGGAAAAGATCATGAATTGAGTACCTCACTTACCCGATCAAAGACGGCCTTCACTAATTCATGATGTGAGTTTTGTGGACATTATATGCTCATGTTTTGATTATTTAATATATTAACATTATTATGTAAAACAAATAAGTATAGATTATATCATTTACTTTGGAATGTTTTAATTTTATGCTTTCTTGAAAAGAGTTTTCAAATATGTGCAACTCAAAGAAAAAGCGAGCTCATATGTACAATAACCGAAGTCATTCCAATATAAGTAAAATGGCCTCCATCCATAGACATTCAGAGATATTTCAAGTAAGCGAATAGTCTCATGGTAGTATGCTTAACATGGTAACAATCACACATATAATATGCTAAAACGAAAATGCTTACCCAAAACTCGACTGAAGCAAGCCCAAGAAAATAAGATAGTTAGAGAAAATGCACGATCTTACAAATGCACATAACTAATGCAACACACACAAAATGCAACTACTTGATTCGGCTATGAACATGTCGTATGGATCCACTTTTTATTAGGACTTATTAAATAAAATATTCATGTAAATAAATAAATAAATAAATAAATAAGGCTTGGTTTGGCATAAACTATAAAAGTCAAAAAGTTAACACTATTCACTAAAAAAAATATTAAAAAAATAATATCCACATAATAATACAAATAAAAAAAATACAATTAAAAAAAGTACTGACGTGATGGGCCCGTCAGTGACTGGAAAAAAAAAATAGGGAGTAAAATATTCATTGAATTGGATGCTAGAGCTGGGCCTGTGGGGGCCCACCATGGGTCCCGTTTTGGTAATCTGGACCGTTCAATATGTAGAACTCGTCTATTACTATATGCCTATAAAAAATCATGTCTATCGGATATCGTTAAATATATGATCAAATCAGCTTTGTATAAAAATAGATGGTGTTATAGTTAACAGTTAACAAAAATTACTAACACGATCAGATAGCTATCGATATCCAATCAACGTGATTTTTTACAAGCATATAGTATTCGACGAGTTCTACACATTGAACGGTTCCGATTAGTAAAACGGGACCCGTGGTGGGCCCCCATGGGCCGAACAGAATCGACCAATTTATGCCCGAAAAGTAGAGAATCAATCTCCTACACACCCTCTATAGCGCTGCTTCCAACCGTACAGTCTATACCACTATTTTATTCCCTATACACTTATTTATATAATTTTTTAATACACATTTTTTTATAAAAAGTTAAAAAATTAACCAAAACAACTATATTTTTTTCCTTAACTTTTTAATCTAAAAAAATAAAAAATACACTTATTTAAGACATTCCAAACATCTCCTGAACAAGATATTAAAATAGTCCACCAAAACAAAGAAAGCATGTAGAAATATCACATCACTGAAATGTTGAGAGAGTAATGGTAAATCAATGAAAAATTTCATACATATTAACCATTAAAATTATAATTTATTTTTATAAATATATATCAAAGTATGTTTTGAGCTAGAATGCCTATGATTCGTCTATAATCTATTTAAGATTTTCTAAAGATAGAGGCCGACATGCCACACGACTAGTACTATAAGGAGTTGTGCCACAGACACTTCGTAGTTAATAAAAGACATTTTCGATCACCTTTATACCTCTTAATCGTAGCGAAAGTTTTACCACAAATTTAATCAGAAAAATGATATGAATTAGATCTAATTCTTATATAATAAGGTCTATGAATCTCAATCATCTAATATATTTTTTTAAAAAAATTTCTGAAACAATTTTATGGATATTTAGCTTAATCAAATGATTTGTCCAATGAGAGTATGTACGGCTCAATAAGGTTGTTTCTGTGGATAAGGACGCTTTAATTTTAAATTAAAATTGTTGAATTATCACAAAAAAATCATTACAGAAAATCATGATCCTGCTTGCTTGTCATCAATATTATTTCTCATTTTCATGGATTTTTTATATAGCCACGCACATACATTATATATTTTCCTTTCATTTATTTTATTTTTAGGGGGAAAAAATGCATGCAACATGTTACATGTATATATGCATTTGACAAGTTACATGTATATGCATGTAATGCATATTACAACTGTTTTTTTTTTTTATTGGCAAAAACAAAAACTTTATTGACGAAAAGAGGCACAATACATGTAACAATTACATCAACAAAGAGGGAAATGCAAAAGTATCATAGTTAACCTTAATAATCCCAATTAGTTTGGCACCGTAAAAGAAGTACAATCATATACTAGCATTTGACCCGTGACTGGTGAGAAACCAATTAGGAGTACCCATAGCAGAAGAAAAGGCAAAAAAGCTATACAATCAACAGAGCCAACTGGTGGTGCCAAACAATACACTAAATAGATCATCTGACATAGGACATCAGCCTTGATCCATAGCAAAACAAAGCTTCCCTGACTTAAACCAGCAAAGCTCCACCCAACTCAATACCTCAAAGCTCCTCCAAAGCACAACTTGATCTGATTTAAATTACAAATGAAATCATTGGTTGCAAAATGAAACTCCTTCAGGTGTGGATTCAACCATAGAGCAATCCTAGTCTTGATCAACTCACACAACTCAAACAAGTTTGGGTTAGCTGCCTTGAAAATGCATCCATTTCTTTGTTTTCATATTTCAAGTATGTAGAACTCTTGTACAACCTAATTTTTCCACATCAGAATTTCACATTCTTATATGAGTAGCCACAACCTGCTAGCAGCCTAATTTACGGCTTCAACAACATTCTTGAACTTCCTCAACATTAAGTTGTTTTAAATTTTTTTATCATGGCCATAATATGCCCTAATTTTATAGCTTTCACTGATGTTCCTTACAAGTTAGATGTGCGTCATATCTGCATGCTCCAACTTCTTACCAAAATTGATTATTTCTGAGTCTATCAAATTCATATTAATACACATTACAAAAGCTGAGAACAGAACTATGCAGATTGCAGATATTTAAAATCAATCAAAATTTAAACTACAAGTTGTGAAATAACAACTAATTCAAAAAAAAATTGCTCTTAAGCAGCAAGTTAGAGATACCAACCAATGATTGGAGAATATATAGCAAGTTAGACAAAAAAATTTTTTACCTTTAACTATGGTTCGCGGCTCCAATTGCGGCTCAAATCGCAGTCCAAATGTTCGGAGTAAGACAGAGGGAGAGAGGGACAGCCCACCAATGTTCGTCGCCGACTTCAATTCGCCATCGCAGGTC